TCTCATGGTTTTGACAAAGTTTGTATTTTAATAATCATTTTTCATGTTCTAAAATTACTAAAATGCAAATTTCGTCAAAACCATTAGAGAAAACGAGTCTTATCAAGAGTACCGTTTTTAAAGTATGTGAGTTGCGCAATCTAAATGTTATACTCTAACTCCTTTTCTTCTATTAGCGTAGAATTTTTAAAGGTGCAATTATTTAAAAAATCAAGTTCTACGCCTATGTATTATTACCGGACAAAATTTTAACACTATTTTTTTACCACCTAAAATTCTATCAATATACTAAATTTCAGCAAAATCGCATATGCCGTTTTAAATTTATATGGGAAAAACGATTCAAAAATTGTAACTTCAAGGCCCTCTGGAGCTCAAACGATGCAACTTTGTACTGAGGTAATTTTACTTGAATCGACTTATTTTGGTCTAAGGAATATGTGGTATGTCTTTGTGAAGACCTTTTACAGATACCCTGTATAATAATTCTTTCTGAATGATACCAGACATGACGGTAGTCAGGATTGGATCATCTGACTATACTGAGTGAGAAAATCAGACCAAAATATAGAGGAGAAGTACTGAGGAGAGGTGAAAATAATGTGCGAAAGAGATATAAAAAGTGTACAGAAAATTGAGAAGATTTTATTATCGAGAATACGAAAATCTGAACTTGGTTGCTGTTTTCCTTTTTTTCTAATTTTTTAATGTTAGTTTTTCATTAGTATTTTGTTTTTCTCCTCAATTTCTACTAATTTCTTTCGTTATTCATCTCACTCTGTAGACAGATGATCTTATCCTGACTATCGCATCATCATGCTTGGTATCATTGAAATTCTTATAAGAATTATTATACACGGTGACTCAAAAAATGCAATTACTTATCCAAAGATTGTGACATTGATAAAAAACAACCATTATAAGACATTGTTTTGAAAATTGATATAGGAGTATCTGTGTCGTCCGAATCGATTGCCATTATCAAAATTCTTGTAAGATGATGCCTAATCCATTTTCTTTAATTTTGCTGCAGTTTATGTGATCGCAGTAGGCCAAGAAATTTTGTGTGTGACCAAATATTATAAAGCGCGACTTCTTTCTAGTAATTCTGAATTATTAATGTAGCACAACAGCATCTGGTAGCAACAGTTAGAAACACGTTTTCTTAGTAATTATATTTCTCTCCAACAATAGCTAATACTCGGCTTCGAAAGCCGAGAAAACTTCTATATATATTATGTTTTGTTCTCATTCGAAGTCTGCGAAAGCTTCGCAAACTTGGAAGTTGTGGTCTCAGGTCAATTTCGAAACTCCAGGAGTTCGCGGATTGTTTTTTCTTTGTCCTTATGCCAACCAAGATTAGAAGTTCAGAATTCTAGGTTCGAAATTATGTATGAGAATACAAGTAATGAATGACTGATGTATATAGGTAACCATGCACGTTACTGAGGGAGACAGTATTTCTATCTCTGGAGAAGGTAATTTCCCAAGAAAGCATTGAAATGGAAGTAAACATCAAATAGTTGTACAACGTTGTACAACGTTCTCTTTGCCTGTGACCTGTTTGGTTTCTTTGATGAATTAAACTCTTTCTAATCCATCGCATAGTATGGATATTTCTTATTTTATTATTTCCTAATTGGAATACATTTTAATCTCAAAACATTTTGTTCAGATAATTATTGCGCCCCTGTCCGTTACTATTGAGTACCTCACTATAAGAAAAAAACTATACGTACACCTGGATATACGTTTTGCTAACAAACTACAGACAAATGATGTTATGAACCTACCAGAAAAACAGGTAAGATCACAGTGAAGTATCCAGACATTTCATATCATTCCAGTCACCCTTAAAACAAATTGAATAATTATTGTGGATATCTCTGACTCATAACTCCTGGCTCTTTCTCTTCAGGAATGAATGCACCGATTTAATCACCCAATTTGGGACAATAATCAATTATTGATATTCCAGAATTTTCGGGATAGACCGTTACTTTGATTGATGATCAAAATTGATAATTATTAATATTATTATAATGATATTTGTAGTTTCATCACGACTCTCGAGTCGTTGACGTCGCCGTGTGTTGGCGTCCACCACTAGCTGTAGAACCTACCATTATTTACTCCTTTTCGAGGCGTAAAGTGTGTTTTTACTACCAAGGTAGTTTTCGTCATTTTATGAACCACTAGTCAATAATTACATAGCCACCTCTATTATAATTAACCCTAATTCACTGCTCTAATGCGATATTCGCAGAAATGGGACTCGAATCTAGTATACGTATTCATCAATTCTGACATATGAAATTCTTCACTACCTTGGTGTATAAATAACTATTATTCACCAAGGTAGTAAAGAATATCATTACCCAAGGACCAAGATTATATCCCGAGGCTTCAGCCGAGGGCTATAAGGTCCCGTGGTAATAATATTCTTTACTAAATATTGTAAAAGTTTCGGAGCATCGGCTGGAGATAGTCCTGCACGATTCGCTGTTGCGTTCCAATTAACAGTGCTGCTCCTAAAGTGGCGCATGGAGTTAGTAACACGGCCTATACAGAACACGCAGAAAGAGATGATGATGTGGTTGTGAGCATCAGAGAAGAAGTAGGACGGTGTATGTAGGTGGGTGTGGAAAAACTACCAGCTGAGCGTGAGAGCGGGCCAGCTGTTTAAGTAGAGCCCAGTCTCTAACGGGGGTTAACGAGGATAGCTAGCAGGCCTGCCACTGCGCATATGGTAGTGAGTACATTACTAGCCTACAAAACACAGCCGAAAAACTCTGAAAGAGAGCTGATGGGCAGTGCCTGAAAAAGGGATGTTAGCCAGCTCTCTTGAGCGAACCACATCAGTCATTGAAAACACTTGGGGTTTGCAAAAAGGTCCCATGAGGGACTATTTACTGACGTGCAAACGTCCCCCACCAGTACCAGTACCAGTACCAAGGTGTATATTGATTTTTTTTCATCACTAGCAATATATTCCAATCATTTTAGTTCAGTGAAACCAAAATATGGGCCTATTATCACAATGAAAGCACTACTTTTAATAATTAGCCATGACCATGACAGCATATATGACAAGTCGTAATATTGATAAATACCTACTAGATTCGAGTGGCATTTATAAGAATCTTGCATTAGAACAGTGAATTCGGGTTAATTATAACAGAGGTTTTGACGAGCAGTATATATATCACTGGAGACGACTCCACTTGGTCATAGTGTGTATTTACAGTATATCTACCGCTCTTGCAAATTTCAGAATCCTAACTCAACAATTACGAAAGATACAGGGGTGCTTCCATTTGAAGTAACACACTGTATAATATTCATCTTGAGTCAAAAGTTTAAGCTTCAAAATGAGCCTGAGATTTCAAAAATCGGTTGACGAGGAGAAAAGTTATGACTGCAAAACCAAAAAGTTAATTTCTCGAGATCACTCTGTGATTAAAACACATGAGGAGACAATTCGAGAACTGTCCCAAGATAATGAGATCATACATGCCTCTACTGTCAAAGTTGAGAAAAAAGAGATACTTTTGAAATTTTCGAAATTTTGAACAGTTTCAGGTAACACCCTGTAGAGATTTTATGTGAAGAACCTTATGTAAGAATCACGAGATTATAGCTGAAGGACTGGACTAGCGAACAGTGTGATGCGAATTCAAATCGTTCACAGCAGAAAAAAGTTATTTATATTTCAACAGAGGCAAAATTTTGGGGTGCGACGAAATTAGTGCTGTGTAATTTATAGGGATGGCAGTACCTCCCTATCATCATCTCACCCTGTGGTCGCTGCCCATGCCCCCCCCGCCATTGCGCTGCAGAGTGTCCAGCACAGCTGGCTCGGGATCAACAATTTTGTTTTGAGCCCTGTCATTTCCCGATTTTTTTTCAATCCCATAGAGCGCACGATAGATAATCTCTAAAAAGAACATCGCGCGTGCCTTAGGATGATAGGGGAAGGACGTAGGTATTGTTTTTTTTCCCTTGGAGATTATAAGTTCCTGGACTCCGGATATATTTTGATTTATGCAAATCTCGCCTTTGAAAATGAGATTTATACAAATTTTTGTCAGCGACAAGATACCCATTTTCTGCCTGACATTTCTTCCTTCCCTGATACATGATGAAAAATATGATTGAACAACGGAAATATATCAATGAAAATAAGAGAAAATCTTCCACAGGAACATTGGGAATACTTCCATTCTCAAAGAATTAGCGAGTGGACCCCATATGTGGAAACAGTATTCTAAAAAAGGCCATATCTGTGCTTTGTATATCATGAGAAGCTCATCCCATGAAAGACTATTGCTGATGGAGATACCGAGCATAGATAAAGTGGACCTAGTGGAAATGATGGTACCAGACATTGATATATCAGGCAAACTGAGTTCCGATTTTCTAGAAAAAATAAACGAGTGAGTTTTGGTGGTGTTCAATACAACCAGATTGTTGGCTTCCTAAGCTGTATTTTCAGCAAGATCTCCTGCCTCCGTTGTGAGTTCTTAGTTTCCTGGGAAGGGGCATGTGATTCCTCCCAACATATCATTGAACGAAGTGGAAACTTTTGAGATTCCACTTGTTTTACTAATGAAGCTTGCCATATTCGGGTGACGTAGGCAGGTAAATCTCCAGTTGATCTTCGATGGCAAAAGCCATATTGTTTATCATTGAGGATTCCTGAGCTTCCCAGATATCTGATAAGCTAAATGTTGATGGCTTTCTACATGACTTTGGAGATAGTAAGGCGATGGGCCCATAGTTGTTGGGCAGGTTTATGTTTCATTTTTGGGGATTATTTGGACTCTATAGCTATCTTCCAGCAAGATGGAACAATACCCGACTACGAGATGGTAAATAATCTGTTTGTTTACCTAAATAGCCGCTGATATCGCATATCATGTGACTTCAATCATGACATTTCATAGGTCCAGCCGGGTGTGAATGAAATAATCGCGAATATTGTCTTTTTTCTTCCTCACCTGTGGTCGCTGCCCATGTCCCCCTCGTCCCCCTCCTCCTCCCTGAGCTCGCGCTTGATGACGACGACGGGCGGCGCCTTGCGTTCTGCCCTGGGCTGGGCGCTCGGCGACCCCTGCGCGCCGCCCTTGCCGCCCTTGCGCTGCCGCGTGGCCAGCACCAGCCGGCGCGGGATCGACATGATGATGACGACGTCGTCGAGGCTCATGCGCGTGACGTCCACCAGGTTGACGGCGAGAATCTCGTCGCCCACCTGCAACGAAGGAAATTCGAATGTGTTGAAATGGTGCTTAGGTGGATCCGAAAACATCGCTACCCAGGCAACGTTTTATTGACGTATTTTTTACGTTAGTTATAGTAGGGAAGCCCAAGCAGGTATTTCGGGATTTACTCGAAGGCGGCATATTAACAAAAGGGAGGTATCCTTGGTCCTTGTGAAGTACTCCCACCATACCTGGGCCCTTTATATGGCGTCGAAAGCTTATGGCAGCCGATCAGATTAGTAAAAAAAAAATCGATCGTCAGAAATACTCGAGCGCGTCAGATTAAGACATGGTACGTTAATCCCATGCAGTAAAGTGTGCATTTCAATAATATGACGATTTGAGCGTGACATAAGGAATTAGGAGAGCCACAAAGTTGCAAAAAACAATCGTCACCTGTACATTCTCGAGCGCGGTTAATTTTTTTCTCATTCTGAAGGCAATTAGTCACGGATCACGGAAATAACATGATCTTCCGATTTGAACAAGCCGAAGTATAGCGAAAATCATCAATTGAATGTGGTGCTTGCAGCCACTGGGAACTATGTATGTAATTGTGGTAACGTAGGAAACTGAAAAAAAAACTTCGTATATTGTTATCAATCAGCTCATGAGGAGGAATTTGAGAATGCAATGAAATACAAGGTGTGCTATAAGAAGAAGTATAACTTTGATGCGCTATGCATTTTTGAGTAACGCAAAATATTTCAGAAATGTACTTTCCATGAGATTATATACCATCTCAAGAATTTTTGTTCATCTATCTCAAACAGCAAGGCCGTCATCTCACTTTGTCACACTATTGGTCCACCCTGTATGTCTACATGAGCCATCCATCTCAAAATTTTGAATTCTTCGAGCTGTTGAAGTCCTGCTACCAAAAACTGACCCACCCTGTATATTCTATATTTTAGTTATTACTTTCAGTTAACAAAAAGAATCCAACCGTCAGATTAAGGTAATTTCTCTACATAATTGTCAGATTATGGGTGGATACGACAAGGACATTGAGATGAAGCGTCTGTATAATAATCTGAAGCGCTCGAGTATTTCAAGGTCACGATTTTTATTTTTCATTTTCAATATTTGATCATGACTTTTGGTCGCGTCCAAGTTGTCAGTCGATATGTAAGACAACAACAAAAATACAGAAGATACTCAAAGAATGAAAATAGGTGTAAGTGAATATTTGTACAGTATGATGCAAATGTATGGAATAAATTCATTTCAAAACAAGACGACTTTCGAAAAAAAAACAAAAAATAGAGTTTAGAACTTTTTTTTCGCCGTATTTTTCTAACTAGACGACCCTTCGATGTTCAATTCTCAGTAGCAGACCTCTGCAAGATTCAATTAATCACATGATAATCCATTTTAATTCCAATCTTCTTATGCAACATTTTGACTGTTGAATAGACGATCGGTAGACCTTTCAATCAAGGTGTCACATGACCCCTATTTGTATTTGAAAAAATCGTCCATTACGTCTTTACTCCAACACCGGTGACGTAACATCTCTCATATGAATATCATGAGATGAAGCTTCAGAAATTAAAACTCACGTGTTTTTGGAATTTTTTCAAATGTCGCCCATTTCTGAAATAATGAATTTACTTCATACATTTGCATCATACTGTATAATAGTAGCTATGAAAAAATAACAAAAAAATATGTACTGTACATACGCGAATGACTACAACAAATTTCTCATTTTTTCACATGGATACACCATTTTGCAAATGGAACGAGAATAAAAGGGTGTTTCTATTTTTATAGAACTGAATATTCAAAGGCCAATCAGTATTTTAAATATCTCTTGGACAATAGGGGGGAAATCTGGATAAAGTTATATCAATTTCCTGTAATATTTCCACGAATTTGCGGAAAGATGAACTATATAAAACTCAGAATACTCATTGATCGAGAAATTCCAAGAATGGCAAATTTAAAATTGCATCTTGTCAAAAGAATTTATCACTCGCCTTGTGTATTAAAAATTATGTGAAGAATGTATAGACAAAATTTATTATCCGAGCAGAAGCACAATATAATTAGACTATCCGTGACTTCGATGCATGTATTAGCCAACCAGCAGACTCTAGAGCACATCATAACGATTCTTCGTAGTTTCTGTACTTCGCTATATTTCTAGGCGCACGCACGGACCACTTATAATTATGTCGGTCTTAAGTTACGCGGTGATCGTGACGCGAGTTGGCCGTTTTACTCTCATCCCAGTCAACCCCTACCGCCGTCTCGGCCGCCGTCGCATATCAATATATAAAGGTGAACACTTATTATTGTGCCGATGATACAGTGACCGTGACACGAGTTTGCCATTTTGCTCACATCCCAGAATAAGTGCCAACCCCAGGTAACATTCCAGTACAAGTACACCAAGCAGAGAGGAAAAATTACTTGACGACGTCGAAATTCACTAATTTCCAACAGAATATTTCACCTATGTGCCTTAAGTAACTAGAAAGTTATGGATTGGGTTGTGAATTGTATATAAAATGGATGATTAGAACCTTGCAATTTTCTATAAAAACCACCAACTTCATAGAGAGAGTGTATAGTTGGAAAGTACTCATTACAGACTTCAAACATATCTTCATAGTCCTAGTATGCATAACGTTATTAATTGGGTAATATTTAACTCCAATTCAACCAGTAAAATGTCTTCAAGGCCCTCGAACTTTCAGGATATTCTTTGAAGTTAGAATTTACCAGATTCTAACTTCATGAACGTTCATATAGTCGGCGAATATAATGGAGAAAATAATTTACCCATTTTTGTACCAAACGAGTGGAAGGAGTTCCTTAGTCTTTTTTCAACTTAATTAACGCTAACTTTATGCCCGATGAAGGCAAAATTACCACCATACAATCCTTAAAGAACGAAGTGTCCTTGAGAAGGTCGACAATTCCAAAAATAATCCAAAAATCATGTTGTCAAAGTTGATGGCTATTATTGCCCCTCGTGTTTTGAAATCGGCAACTATTTCAAAATGATCATTCATTTCTGAAGAAAAAAATCGCGTTTTGAATGTTTCAGTTTTTATTATCAGTCAGTGGTTCCAATCAGCTTTCCCCTAGAAAGTGAGTTCGAAGGCGAATTATAATATCTGATCAACTGACCCAGCAATTTCTTTTTGACATACGAAGTCAGATCAGAATGCATATTTCAGATTACTCTCATAGCGAGTATAGAAAAATAGGTATTAATAAATTATTGCACTTCGTTTGAGAAACTACAAAAATGGAAAATGTACTAAAAGTGTACTAGAACGGCAAGACGACAACACGACGATATACTTTTCTGATTGACTGAAAAATGAAGTTTGTCACCCAGCGACCAACAAGAAAAAATACCGATGCAGAATCAGGAATTGAAGGCGAACAACATACAGTTGACAAATTATGTGTATTAAACATGTAATAACATTATTCCATTAGGTTGAGTGCCATTCAAATAATATACTCGTTGATATACTCTGAAATCCCAATATAGGGAAGATGGGCTTCATAGTCAGAAATAAACAGCATTTTCGACTTTGAACGAGGCCTATTCACCCTGAAAGTTGAAAATTCAGGAAAATTCGACTTTTTAGTCCAATATGAGACCGATGTCATATTTGTTGGCTTGAACCTTCTTCGCCATTGACGAAGAGAAAAGAATCTTCAGATAGCGCCCACATCCTGATGAATTGAAATACAGTAGACGTTAAATTTGACATATTCGATCATACTCCTCTCCAATTTAATGAAGAAAATTGAAAGTACAAAGATGATAATCCAGTTATTTTCTACAGATCCAATAAATTCGTGGGCGCACTATAATTTAAAACGAGTAAAATCAATATTATCACATAAAATTTCGCATGAATATCATCTATATAGCTTCCTCTACTGGCACGTTCTCTTTTGAACCCCATGTTCCTGAACTCCAAAGTCTTTCACCTAAATAAGTAGGTATAGTCGATCGTGAAACACGGCACATATAATTTGTTTTCCAAACCCAACCAAACGACAGTAAACCATCTAGACATCTCAGTAAACCCTCCCATAAGTGGGTAATGGATATCGTCAGAATGACTTAATTCAGACCATGATCCGACTAGAATTAGGGCAATTTTTCCTATTTGTTCCCACGACCCATTGGACAAGATACCCTAATACCACAATTCTCGTCTTCTAAAAAACTTTCAATTTTTTCCATATTTGTACATATGGAGTAAATGGGACGTAATATTTACTTTCGCCAAATAAGTCGCTGCCCTATTCAAAGGTCAAAATGACGTATATTGTATATTTTCGTTGACAAGCCTATAGAAGTGATCATTTCAATAATTGTTGGTTTCAATTTCACATCTACAACTATTTCTATCACTCACCTTGAGACACCCGCTGTTGTAAACCGCCGACTCCAGCGCTATCCTCGACACGAACACGCCGTCCGCCCTGTCCGCCCCGTTTCCCTCTCGGATGTACAGCCCGAGGGTCTGCCCGGGCCGCTTCACGATCTCCACGAACTGCACCGAGTGTTTTCCGTCCTGCATGGCGGCGAACCGCTTCGCTGCCTCGCCGGCCGCGCGGCCCGCCAACTGCCGCCCGTCCACCAGCCGCACGATCATCTCGCCGCGGCGCTCCACGTGCTGAAACAACGAGTCAAGCCGTTTACTCAGTATAAAAAGATGCCATGTCGTTCGAATTTCAGTATCAAGATTTTAAGGGCTCATTTTAGGAGATGGTATGGGTCCTGGGTCATAGTAGGGTGCCCGGAAACGAAACAGCAGACGAACTTGCTGGGACCGGATCCGCGAAGCCGTTTCTGGGACCAGAGCCTGTACTAGGCATAGCAAGGAGCCAAAAATTCGTCAGCCCTCGATGAATGATGAGCGGACAAGGCACTAGGAGAATACTGGAGGAATATTACAGGTTGCAGACAGACCAAGGAATTCATGGCCGGTCCAAGCAAATCAAGGAAGGAGTGGCTGCTTGGCAGCGACCGCCAAGTACTGAGCCCCCTCATAGAGGTACTCACAGGACACAACAGGCTAGGCAGACACATACCACTTATGGGAATAGAGGACAACCCCACTTACCACAGATCCGGGGAAGACGAGGAAACGTCACTCCATTTCCTCGGCGAGTGCGAGACGTACCATCGGGGCCTACTTGCTTGGCTACAGCCTCCCCACCTTCTACTACTACTACTACTACTGCTACTACTAGGAGATGAAGAAATTGGAATTTGAAGATATGTGCTTGCCGTTCTGAATGGCGGCGAACAGATTGGCCACCTCACCGGCCACCAGCCGCATGATCATCTCGCCGCGTCGCTTTAGTGCCCATACCGTTTACCGTTTACTCAGTATTGAAGGATGCCAGAGCTTCCGAATATCATTAGTATCAAGAATTCAGGATCTCATTTTAGGAAATAAGGAAATAAGGATATGAAGATAAATACATAAATGCTTCTTCATACATTTCAACATATGTCAGGCACCTATAGATTATACTTACTCCATTGACTCAATAGACTAATATAAAAGATCTTGGGGTATTATTGGATGACACTTTTTTTTCCACAGCACATAATAATGATATCCCTGAAAGCACGCAAGATGCTTGGTAAAATCAAGAGGGTATCCAGAGATCTTTCAATCAACTCCTCTAAGATTCTCTACTGCGTTTTTGTCCTTTCAAACTTGGAGCATGCGTCGGTGGTGTGGAACCCCTATTATCAAATTCTTAAGAGCTTCAGCATATAAACTAGGAATTCAGGTTGACAACTATAACTATGATCATCCATTCCTATGCCCATTATTAAAAATAACTACCCTAGAAAACAGGAGACTTGAAGCCGACTTATGTTTTCTGTTCAAGCTGCGAGCTAGTGAAGACAACTCTCCTGATCTCCTATGTCATATTGGGTTTAAAATTGATAATCCTAGCACTAGGTCGAAGGAAATCTTCCACATAAAGCATCATTACAGAAACTATGGGCAAATGATGTAAATTTTAATCACTTCGGCATACCTTCATCTACTTCAAGACTAGAACTGAAAAAATATTTGTCTCAGTGATACTAGACGTTTGTATGTGATTGATCTGTCATCATAATAAGAGTTTTTATAATATGTATATTTTCTTTCTTATATTTGTTGAATCACTGTTTTAAAGTAGGAGAGTTAATGTCATTTTAGTGAGTTATCATTTGTAGAAATATTTTGAAGACTGCAATGATTATTTATTGTTTCGAGATTCCACTCGTACAGTATTGTAATGGATATTTCCGTGAATGAATAAATGAATAATTAAGATGTACAGCCGAAGGGTCTACCGTGGCTGCTTCACGATCTCGACGAACTGCATAAAGTGCTTGTTGTCCTGCATGGCGGCGAACCGCCGCGCGGTTGACCATGCGGCTGCCCATCCAAAAGCCGCACGATCTTCTCGCCGTGGTGCTACACGTGCTGGAACTACGAATCGAGCCATATATTCAGTATTGAAAGATGCCAGGTATCAAGATTTCAGGATCTCATTTTAAGAGATAAGGAAGTAAGGATATAAAGGTGTACAGCCCGAGGGTCTGTCCCGGGCCGCTTCATGATTTCCACGAACTGCACCGAGTGCGTTTCGTCCTGCATGGCTGCAAACCGCTTTGCTGCCTCGCCGGCCGCGCGGCTGGTCAACTGCCGCCCGTTCACCAGACGCACGAGCATCTCATCGCGTCGCTCCATGTGATGGAAGAGATTGATTGACCAATCCTCGATCATCTGCTTACTTAAGTTGGTAACAATGAGAAAACCTGATGATTCGATTAATGTAAGAAGTTAAAAATCAATCAACCTCCTACTTGTTATTTGATAAATGATAGTCTTTGATTGTCTGCATAAACACACTGAGGGGAAATAGGGAGTTCAACTTATAAATGATAATTGCAAATCGATAATTATACTATTTGATAAATTGTTTCTTGTTGTTGCATAAATCAACATTTCAAGTCATCGCTGTACCATCGCTAAAACATACTAGAATATTCTGGAAAGTTTACAAATATTAGCGAAGATTCTGAAAGAATCTAGAACATTCTGCAACATTAATCATTCCTCATCATTTTCTGATATACTCGTTCATGATGAAACATTGTAAAACAATGTAGAACGTTGTATGACATTGTAAAACAATGTAGAGCGTTGTATAACATTTTATACCATTGTAGAACGTTCAATAGTGTTTTTCAATATTCTTGTTACATGCGAACGTTCTGGATGATTCTATAACAATCAGGATATTCTGCAATATTCACCAACATCCTATAATATTCTCGAACATTCCCAAACATTATCAAACATTCTCGAACAATCTGGAGGAGAAGCAGGACGAGGAAGTGGAGGAGAAGGGAGAGTGAAGTATCTCTAATTGTTTGGCCAATTATTTCATCAAGAAATAATGAAATCATTGTTAAAATATCTAACAGAAAACTACGACTTTCCTAGCTAATTGTTGTTGTTGTTGTTGCTAATACCATGTTATATTGAATTAATTATATCTGTCTTATAACAAGAAGCCGAAAGAAACAGGAAATACTCGTTAATTAAAATAATTCCTTGAAATAACCCTCTGGTTGGCGGCAGAATTCCTGACTGAGGAATTGTTTTCATCGGCGATGACTTTAGGCCTTGTAGCAACTCCATCAGAAGGTCAGGGAGATTCGTAAATGAAATCTAAGTGAAGGAAGCGTAGATATGTGGAGAGTAGGGGTTAGCAAAAAGGGCCCATCGGGGCGTGCTTGCTTGGTCTCCCCACCTATTACTACTAGGCCTTGTAACGAAAAGAGGCCTATGTTGTAGAGGGACAATAAGAAGAATAAGATTTCCCAACGGTCTGGAATGCCTGATGCAGGTTGCAATTATGGATATTTGGAATATTAGAATATTGAATAATAATTGTACTCAAGTTAAAAATAGTATGATTTGATAGTGAGTCCATAGGTTGGTATACATTTTTACAAGTTAATAGGATTTGAACGTCAGTTTTAGCTTCATGATACTTAAATTGTTGCAACAAACAATTATATTCATCGTTCAATTTTGCCAGTAAGAGGAACGTCAACTACGATAATTGATTTTGAAACAAGAATGAACCCCTTTCGAAACAGTTGCAGAAAAGCCATATTTCCACGATGAACGTTTCAAAAAGCTCTAGCTCGCAAATCAATTCATCGAAACAATGCTTGTGATTTCTATATTCATTTTTTGACGCAAAGTATCACACTATAGATTATCCGCTCAAAATATATCGGGAATGAACCAGTAAACTAAGTTAGCCGGTATTCATTTTCTTTGTTTGAACACTTCATGCATTAGTTAGTAGCGAACTTTTTTTTCTGTAGGTATGTTTTCACGTTGGAATACATAGTCGCATCCCTTTTTATTGTTATGGTATTTTAATATCCAAATTTCAAGATTGCTTGACTATAAACTTGTTTTTGATAATTATTCTCAGGCACAATGTCAATTGTCTCAAAGTATCAATTATATTATCTTAATTACCAGAACTAATTAAATCCAAACATAAAGCTCTTAATTGGATTATTACACGAAACACCGCCAGAAAAAGCGACAAAGGAGCCGTAACGAAAATTTCTGAATGAAACAAAAAGCCCAGTTTCCCACAAAGAAAAACATTTGAGTTTCTACCTCTCCAGGTGCCCAGGCAGGCGTGTTTCCTCCGTACTTCCCCAGTTTTCCCGCTTTTCTTCCTTTTTCAACGTCGAATTAATTAGTTCGAGCATTCTCTCTGCTGGAAAATTTCCCTGGGAATGTCTCCTGGACCGAAGTAGTTTAAACGTTAGAATTCAGTACTTTGAAATCCGTATACATGTGTATAGTGCAAATTATAATAATTTGAATAATATATGGTTTTCTTATTTTTCTTCAAAGCCACAGATTGTAATTGAGAACGTATGGAAAATTATTATGGTCCGACTAGGGGATTCAATTTTGTTTTCCGTTTTTTTATTGACCAAGATGACAACTAGGTAGAGTGTGTGGGTCTTCAATATAATAAGCTTGAGGGCTGTAACGAACTATTCTATCAACACTAGAATCAATTGATGATATTTGATGATTCTAGTTTCACCTAGGCAAAACTGAAATTGGTCTGTTTCAGTTAAAAATGTCATCACTCCATTTTGAAGAACTACCCCAACCTATTTCACTGTAAAAAATTATAAAATGTCATGACATGAAAAAACCAAGAGAACGCGTGAAGACCCAATGCAACTAACTATATATTATGTTTACATATAGTTATGACTTGGAATATGGAAGATATGGATATATCAGTGCCATACACAGATAGAAGAGATTTGATATTAGTAACAGAACGGATTCTGTAACGAATTGAAAAAAACATTATTTTGATGTAACAGAATTTATTTATGTTATTCATTTCTGTGAGGGTTTTCGTTCCAAAATTATCTCTTCATCAATTACCTAATGTTTTTCAACAGATTTTTTTTATCTCTTGGAGCGCACGAAGAGAAATTCCTATAATTTTCTTTGAACATCGTGCGTAAGTAGAAAGGATACGTAGAGGAGGTACCTGGGTGTTATAGTTTTTTTTTTAACTTTTGGAGGCTATG